TTTCTAGAGAGAAAAATAGTGTGTCTGCTGACCTCAAGTAGATATGTGGCTGAAGATTCAAAGCCATTCCATCCTCAAAGAAGAACTAGGGGTGACATGATAGCAGTGTTCCAATATCTCAGGGGCTGCCACAAAGAAAAGGAAGTCAAGCTATTCTCCAAAGCACCTGAGGGTAGGACAAGAAGCAATGGATGGAAACTAATCAAGCAGAGAAGCAACTCAGAACTAAGGAGAAATTTCCTGACAGTTGGAACAATTAACCAGTGGAACAACTTGCCTCCAGAAGTTGTAAACACTGGAAGTTTTTAAGAAGAGATTGGATAACCATTTGTCTGAAATGGTATAGGCTTTGCTGCCTAAGCAAGGGGATGCACTAAAAGACCTCCAAGATCCCTTCCAACTCTGTTATTCTATTTTATTCTATTTTGCTCTATTCATCATACCCTCTCTGAATGTCTATGAAGAGTCTCAATCATCCAGGTCGTGGTTGTCTCAAAGGGTCTTTTCAAAAGGCAACTGGATTTTCTTGGAGTTTTTTTCTTTTTCTTTTTTCCTTAAAAATATTTCGCTTCTCAACCAAGAAGCCTCTGACTGAATGGTAGAGAATAGAAGTGCAGTCCCAAAAAGGTTCTACACCCATTTGCACTCTGATTCAGATGACTCTAAGGATACAGATAAACCCCCAAGCAGCCTCAATCACTTAAGCTAATGCCCAACCTTCAGAATGCTAACGACCAGAGGACTGCAAAGAATACAATTCCTTCTATTCCCCAATATTCAAGAAGCTTTTTGGATGAGAAGTGAAACATTTTCAAAGAAAAATACCCAAGAAAGTTCAGTTGCCTTTTGAAAAGACCCTTTGGGACCCTCTTTGAATCTTTTCCTGAAGTTAGAAAAACAGTTCACAGAGAAAAGTCAAGATGGGGGAGGGGAGGATGGTTCTAAAATTGAATTATCCCTTCCAAGATCAGTTGCCCCTCATGCCTGAAAGAATGAAAATAATGAACCCTACAGTTTCTGAGATGCCATATAAATGCTCAGAATGTTTCATATATTACAGCATTCACACCACAATCTTCATGGTGTTATATGATGCTATTACAATTAAATTCTTTTTTTCTTTGAATCTCTTGCTACTGTTTAAAGATTGAATAAAATGTGAAAAGATGACAACTCTGTCACATGAAACACTTTTATATATACAGAGACACATAAATAGGTCTATTTATACTGTAAGGGTGGCTGAAAGATAGACATGTAGAGTTTTATGTAAAGAAAAGTTATGTGTATAAGAATTTGCTCCCACAATTACTATCTGTTTTCTTCATTCAGTGTCTGTGTGAATACGCCTAAAGTCCCCACCTCACCTCCCCCACACAGAAGAACATCAGGATCCTCTATGTATAATTTTTATTGTCACATATAGAGTGATAGTTGAGGGTAAGGAGCTGAAACAATATTTTATGAAAGTATCATGTTGAAGTTTCTGCAGGTTTCAAAATATTTAAATATGTAAATTTCAATGAAGAGATTTCAGATATTTTTTGATAGCCTAATGATTTTAAGCATCTCATTTCTAGTCAAACACTGACAAAAGATGTGCAGATTGCAGTGTGAGATGGTTTCTATGGTTACCGTTGTTTCCTAGCAGTTTAGTGACATCTTTTGTGAACATTGGCTGCTTCACTTATTTGTCACTAATGTATGTGTAGAACTATAGTTAATAGCCTTGGGCGGACAATTTTTTTTCCCCCTCCAGAATGGCTGTATTGTTTTTTAGCAGCATTTTTCAATAAGGTGACAATGAAGCAGAATACTAATGGTATGTATGGTATTTTAAGATGTCAACTTTTCAATAAAATGGTGATGAAAATTTTGCATTTCGGTTAATAGTTAAATATTCATGAATTTTCACAGCACGATCAAGCAGGCGAAAAATAAACTGTATAATGTGTAACACTAAACATCGTAAATTCAAGCTCTTTACAGAAAATCTATTCACAACTGTTCAATAAAAAAAACCTTTTTTGGGTTTAAACCAGCTTGGGATAAATTAAAGGTATATAAAGTCATTTTCAATCAATCAGAAATAATTCAGCCCAGCATGTTTACAACGTAAAGAAAAATACACCTGGGAAATAAATGGTACTTTTTGTCATTATAATTTATAATGACCATTGGGGGAAGAATATAATAATATTTTGGCCTTTGTATCTGAAGGCATGCACAAATGTGTACACTTACAGATACAGGGACATACACCCACACAGAGGAAATATTTTTATTCAATCAACATACTGCTTTGGTAATCGTTCTTTATATTTAGAAGTGACAGAATTAAACATTGGAAAGTACAGGAGCAATGTCAGAGCACAGGATATATCTGTATCAGCTGCTTCCAATCTAATGGCCATATGTGTTGATTGGAAAACTATGGAACCTGTATTTCAACATATGTAGAACACATCAATGGTTGAGGGATCCTTGGTACTCTCTGAGCTTGGTTGTTTTCTTGCAGATGTTTCATTACCCAAACAAGGTAACATCATCAGTGCATCATCTAGCACTCTCATTTCAATCCTGAGCTACAAATATTCAAATAAAATACAATAAAAAAGCCAACACAGTTCTAGGCTGCATAAACAGAGGGATAGAATCAAGATCACGTGAAGTGTTAATACCACTTTATAATGCCTTGATAAGGCCACACCTGGAATACCGCATTCCGTTTTGGTCGCCACAATGTAAAAAAGATGTGGAGACTCTAGAAAGAGTGCAGAGAAGAGCAACAAAGATGATTAGGGGACTGGAGGCTAAAACATATGAAGAACGGTTGCAGGACCTGGGTATGTCTAGTTTAATGAAAAGAAGGACTAGGGGAGACATGATAGCAGTGTTCCAATATCTCAGGGGCTACCACAAAGAAAAGGGAGTCAAACTATTCTCCAAAGCACCTGAGGGCAGAACAAGAAGCAATGTGTGAAAATTAATCAAGGAGAGAAGCAACTTAGAACTAAGGAGAAATTTCCTGACAGTTAGAACAATTAACCAGTGGAACAATTTGCCTCCAGAAGTTGTGAATGCTCCAACACTGGAAATTTTTAAGAAGATGTTGGATAACCATTTGTCTGAAGTGGTGTAGGGTTTCCTGCCTAAGCAACGGGTTGGACTAGAAGACCTCAAAAGTCCCTTCCAACTATGTTATTCTATTCTTAAATATTCTCCTTTATTGGTATATCAGTGGTTGGAAAAAGATAGACCAAACCACTGGTAGTACAGTGCTTATACACTGCTTTGAAACTAGTACTCCACTGTGGGTTTAAAGGAAAGCAAGGATTTCATATGATCGATATTCCATTTCTACTTTGCTTTTATCTATTATTGTATTTATTATTGATAACTACTTAAATCCTACCTTAAAGATAAACATTGTCCATAAGTGGCTTGTAAGTAATTTAAATCAGACAATCAGTATTATTCACAATGAAATGCAGAAGCAAATTTCCAGGATCCTTCCCATGGTGAGGAAGAGGAATCTCTGGCTCAGGAAGCTTTGATGGTATTTGTCACTTACTTTTCTTCATCCTTCCCACAGGGGGAGAAAGGGAAAGAGAGGGAGAGCAATTTAAAATACTTACAGAGTGAAGAGATTTCAGGTGAAACTTCTGCATTGTTCCTGGATGCAGATATTAAGAGACAAAGCAATCCTAACAAAAAGAAAAAAAGTGTGAGGGAGGAGCTGCTAGATATGTCTCCAAACCCTCTAAGAGATTTGCAGGACTGCAACCAAGCAAGTCTTAAAAGAAGTCAACTGCTCTCCAAATGCTTTTGACCGTTATCAATTGAAGCCAATGGCAACAAAATGTGAAGATGTTATTCAAAATGTGTGGAGCATGTCCCTGCTTTACAAGATGTACTGTTTCCCTTGCAATACAAGGATTTCAATAGTGAAATTCAGCCCGGTCTATCCGGATCACGCAATCCGGTAGCACTGGCAGCGGGAGGCTCCGCCCACCCACCCGGACGTCATCATGTCCCATTTTTGACCCTCTGCGCATGTACAGAAGGCTCTGTGCATGCGTGGAGGAAGCATGAGTGTAGCGAGGGAGCGCGAGCACGCTCACATTTGCAAACCGGTAGCGAAGGTAAGTGAATACCACCCCTGAAGCACTTGCATCTCAATAGAATTACTGCCATTTCCAAGCTGGCAGTTCCAGGAGCAAAAGCATAGTACATCTGGAAGACACAAGGTCTGGCAGACTGCCAGATATGAATTGCTGAAAACCCTCCAAAAGCGTCTTCCATACGTTGATTGTTAAGAGTCAAGATCATCACATTCACTCTGGATCAACTGCTCCATCATTGCTTGATCAGACACATCAGCAAAAATTTGGAACCACTTACATTATTCTTCAATTCTATGGGTGCTTTTGAAGCCCCATCTGAAAAAGTGTCTATTTTAAAGCAATTGCCCTTATAACTTTTATAAGCTGCAACATCCTGTGTCAAGATAGCAGTGTTGTCTTTCCTCTCACTAGTGAGCAAACAGTCTTCCCTGGGATTCCATATTCTGCAGTGTAAAAGTCATATAAGGTGACTGACTGACTGCTGGGAGAACCAAGACTGGAAGAAAATAGATTTTCTAAGTACTTTCATCCTTTCTTTCCTCTCAGGGTGGGAAGATAGACCAAGAATATCTAGAATATAAAATGAGAGCACATATTTCACAGCTGAGGTGTCCAACTCAAAGCTCTGGTGTCATGTGTAGCCTCTACAAGTCATGATAAGTGTTAGGATATGGTATAAGTCTAACAAGTTGTCCAGGCAATATATGTGTTCTATCACTTTAAATGTATTCTGTAACTTTAAATGTAATGCTGAGTAATTGTACTGCTGAGTCATTGTAATGACTAATGACTGCTGACTGACTGCTGACTGCAATTATCCTAATTGTACTGTTGAGTCATTGCACCGCTGACTTCACTTATCTTAAGTGGATAATTACTAGTGTAAACTGTATATAAGGAGAGAGCCGAGCTATAGTCATTGTTGGTCAGAATTGCTTGACTTGCTGGTTGGAACTGTTACTGTCGTGTGTGAAGAAGTGGATGGATCTGCTATCATCGTGATTTGTTACCAGCATTGAATTGCTGTTTATTAACTACTGCTGTTTGTCTGGTAAGAAGATATCTGTAACTTCGGACTGATTTGAATGGCTAAAGACTTGGATTGATTAAAAGACTATGCAATTGTTTTTCACTACAAAGTAAAAGCTTTGTTAAACCAGTTTGTATGTATTGTAGAAACGGTTCTCAGTACCGTTTCTCTGTGCACTTACTCTGCTGGTTGGTAACACAACAATATCCTTAACAATAGGACCTCAATTGCCCTTCAAAGTTGCTGTTGAATTCTAATTTTTCATTTGGCAGAATGGAAAAATGATGAAATTCATGTTATGAATGTATAATTATTGTTAAAGTATAGTTACAAAATGTTAATTATTAACCATACTTGATGGTGCAATTAAATTGACTTTTAATTTCTTTCTCATGGCCACCTCTGATTTTTGGTGTAGAAGTCACTTATGGGCCCATGGTCTGTAGAAAATTCCTATGTAATTCTTTTTTTTAATGTTACTCTCATGGTGGTCAAAGACTGTGCTTCAGCATGCTGTCTTTTATTGCCTAGTAATTTAGTTAATTAACTTTAGTCTCCCTAGTCTGAAATACCAAAGGAAGATACCATTGGGAGGGGGGGGCGACCCTTGGATATAGAAAGCCAGAAGAGGTTATTTGTGTGGGCTACTAGATCTCACCATTTTTTTTAAAAAAAAATAGCACACTTGCATATTAATTTATATATTAAATGACCAATTAACTTGAGTAATTTGTTTAAAAAGTTATTCACTAGGCCTTAAAGATCTCAGGCTCTTTGAGTTTGATTATTTCTTGCTTTCAGCCATATGCAATGCTCCTTTTAAAAAAGAAACCATTTCCTTTCTTTGTATAGTAATTAATAAATAACCCAATAGAAAATAACCCAATAGTAAATAACCCAATAGTAAATAATCCAATCTTGACCAACTGAAGATGAGTAGGAATCTCAAAATGCCAGGTATAAGCATGGTCTTGAATAAAAATAAAGCAAATAGAAACATAGGTCAATGTTATTTTTATCACAGATTGCTACAGCAATCTATACAATCTATACAAATGACCCAAATAAACTTTAAAAAAAAATCTCTCAGCCCCTTTTTTGGTTTTTTTCTTTTATAGAAGAAACCAAAACTGGTCTCTTTCATCCTCAAGTGTGGGGAAAAGACTAATTGTCTTACCTCACAGGAAGACATTCTAGATCAGGGGTGTCAAACTCAAGGCCTGGGGGCCGAATTCGGCCTGCAGGGTGTTTAGATCTGGCCCATGGGGCCACACTGGGAACAGTGAAGAACCAGCCTGCAGTGCTTCTGCCAGTGAAAATAGAGCTTGGGTGGGCTGCGGGCAGCCCTCCCAAGCTCTGTTTTTGCTGGCAGAGGATTGCAGGAAGCCGTCGCAGCTCTAAAATGGAACTCAGGAGCCTGTTTTTCCTGGCAGAGCGCTTGGGCCATCACAGACACCCCCGACATGAGTGACTTTGAGCTGGCCATGCCCACCCTGGCCACACCCACCCCAGCCCCCCGAAGTCAAACACAACCCTGATGTGGCCCTCAGTGTAATTGAGTTTGACACCCCTGTTCTAGATGAATGTTAAGAAAACATGCAATAATAATAATAATAATAATAATAATAATAAAAAATAATAATAATAATAATAATAATAATAATAATAATAATAATAATAATAATAATAATAATTTTATTTCTATACCGCCCTTCTCCCGAAGGATTCAGGGTGGCGTACAGCCTATTTAAAAACACAAGACAAAACAACAATTAAAAATTTAAAATGATTAAATAGATTTGGCTCAATTTAAAATCCCAGAAATTTAAAATACCCCAATTTAAAATATTATGCTGATAGCCCAGCCTGGCAGAACAACACGGTCTTCAGTGCGTAGAGAAACACCTGGAGGTCGGAGATCTTACGTATTTCCGGGGGCAGTTCATTCCACAGGGCTGGGGCTCCCACAGAGAAGGCCCTCCCCCTGGGTGTCGCCAGCCGACATAACTTGGCCGATGGCACCCTGAGGAGACCCTCTCTGTGGGAGCGGACTGGCCGGTGGGAGGCTATTGGTGGCAGAAGACAGTCTCGAAGGTACCCGGGTCCTATGCCATGGAGCGCTTTAAAGATGGTAACCAACACCTTGAATCGCACCCGGAAGACCACTGGGAGCCAGTGCAGCTCGCGCAGGAGGGATGTCACGTGGGCACAATGAGTTGCGTCCATAACCACCCATGCGGCCACATTCTGGACCAGTTGGAGCCTCCGAGTGCTCTTCAAGGGGAGCCCCATGTAAAGAGCATTACAATAGTCCAACCGGGAGGTAACAAGGGCGTGAGTGATCGTGCGCAGGGCGTCCCGGTCCAGAAAGGGCTGCAACTGGCGAATCAGGCAAACCTGATAAAAGGCCCCCCTGGTCACGGCTGTCATATGCTCTTCTAAAGACAGCCGTGCGTCCAGGATGGCCCTCTCTGTGGAGGGCAAAGATTCACCCCCAATAGTCAGTGATGGCACCTGCTGACTATATCGGGGCGCCGGAAGCCACAGCCACTCGGTCTTGAGGGGTTGAGTCTGAGCCTGTTCCTCCCCATCCAGACCTGCACGGCCTCCAGGCAGCGAGACATCACAACAAGGGCATCATTGGGGTGGTCTGGGGTGGAGATGTACAGCTGAGTATCATCAGCATACAGATGACACTTCACCCCAAAACCACGGATGATCTCGCCCAGCGGCTTCACATAAATGTTGAACAGGAGGGGCGAGAGGACCGACCCTTGCAGCACTCCCCATGCGAGATGCCTCGAGGTCGACCTCTGCCCCCCTGCCAACACAAACTGTGAGCGGTCGGAGAGGAAGGAGGAGAACCACCGCAGAACGGTGCCCCCTATTCCTAACCCCCTCAACCGCTGCAGCATGATACCATGGTCGATGGTATCAAAAGCCGCTGAGAGATCTAATAGGACTAGAACAGAGGAGCAACCCCTGTCCCAAGCTCTCCAGAGATCATCCACCAACGCGACCAATGCCGTTTCTGTGCTGTACCCCTGCCTGAAGCCCGACTGGTATGGGTCTAGATAGATAGCTTCATCCAGGTGCCGGGGAAGTTGTCGTGCCACCACGCTCTCAACAACCTTCGCCACAAAACGAAGGTTGGAGACTGGACGATAGTTGGCTAATTCAGCCGGGTCCAGGGAAGGCCTCACTACCGCCTCTTTCAAGGTGGCAGGAAAGGCACCCTCACTCAGAGAAGCACTTATAATTCCCTGGAGCCAGCCTCGTGTAACTCCCGGGAGGCCAGTACCAACCAGGAGGGACACGGGTCCAATAAACATGTGGCGGCACTAATCTTAACCAGAGCCCTGTCCACATCCTCGGGAGTCACAGGATCAAACTCCTCCCAGATAACATTCTCAAGACCTGCCCTCGTCTCCTCCCGTGGACTCATCCAATCGGAGTCCAAGCCATCCCAAATCCGAGCGACTTTATCGTGCAGGAATTGCACAAAATCCTCAGCATTAAAGATAAGAGCAATTTGACAAAGAGACCAATTATTGAAGGGCATGGAAAAAGCTTAACTATTTTTGGTGATTTTGGGTTTGGGGTTTTTTTTTTGGTTTTGGATTTCTAAACAGAGAAGGGACTCAATGGATTAAGAGCCCCTTGTAACCTTGGGTGGTTAGATGGTTGGATGGATGGATGGATGGATGGAAGGATGGAAGGATGGAAGGATGGAAGGATGAATTGATAGATAACATTGAAACTGAATTCACTTGCAAATACTATATATCCCCTAAATTTATGTCAACAAGAATGTGTGTTAATTATATATATTTTAACAGACTTTCTGCAATGTAATGCAAAATCCAATTAAAAGACAATAATGCAGTATGTTGCTTACACATAAAAGGTGGAGGGATTACCTTGCTAAAAAAAGAAACAGTTGAATCTTCAAATAGTAATAACTTTGCTATTTTGAGGAAAAAAGCACATTTCTTTCAGCAATAATCTTTTAACGATGAGAACTGAAGTGCATTTTGTTTATTCAGACTATTTTTATAGTCACCCAACTCATGGAAGTGACTCTAGGTGGCTATAGAAATTGAAAGTGACTCATTGCATCAGAAATCTTTTATGGCAGGAAACTAAAATAAAATGAAAATTAATATCTAAAATCACCAATGTCAGCAACCTCATCCCTGAGAGCTCATGAAACAGAGGCATTTGCATTGGAGATTGCATTATTTTGTGTATCCCAAATATCTACAAAACCATGGACTTTATCTGGAGGTACAAAATGTTAATAGCAGGTTCCCAGCTACTCGGCTGATTTAAACAGCAGGGAAAATGAACGGGCCTCTTCTGGAAGCCATGGTTTTCCTACTTGTGATATGTATTATCCTATAATGTTTATATGAATGGAAAATGTAATGTTCATAAATGCCCGTAGAAATTCTCCACAGTCTTCTCTCTTTGAAGTCTCAATTTATGTCTAGCAGCTTTTATTACTACTACATATTTTTAACAGTTAATGCCTGTTTTTAAAATATATTCTTTCAAAAGAGCAGACATATTTCATAAATAATAACACATTTGTATTATCAGTCTTTAAAGAGTTTCAAAATATAAAACTAGTATAAAGGGAACATGCTTAAATGTGATCTGGAAAGAAATGGTTCAGTGCAAATCATCATCTCATCATCATCCAAATGGAATTGGGGATTGATGTTTATAAATGCTGTTATGGAATGCATTGCTGATTTAGTCTTTTATTTACCTCATGGGCAAACAAAACCTCATAAAGCTATTCCGTGGATGCATAAAATAAGGATGGAGAGGATTCCAGGCCCACAAGCTGAGGGCCTTAACCGAATTAATGGCAGATTATACTATAATACTACTATAGTACTATACTACTATTGTAGATCAGAAATTAAGATTGTAGATCAGAAATTAAGATTGTACAACCCAGCTGGCTCCAGGTTACATTTATAGAATCATAGAGTTGAAAGAAACCTCTGAGTTCTTCTGATCCAACCTAATGCAGAATCCTAAAAAATATTTTAGAGCAGAACTATCTCCATTCTGTTAGAAGGCCGCTAGTGAAGGACAGCAATCCTTCCACCTATTTAAAATTTATCTACTTATTTCCTTTCCTGAAGATAGCGTTAAAACTGCTCTCCTCTTTATCTCAGTAAGTTTTGCTGGTAAGCTAATATCTAGCCCTGGATATAAACATTCCTTTAAATTAGCTAAGTCTTCCTTAGCCTCTCCTTGCCTATTCTGCGATGCTTCCTACCACTAGGAAGTGGTCCAAGACTAGCACTGTTTTTCACAAGTCGTACTTAAAATACTATTGACATTCTTCTCTCTCACTATCTCCTATTCCAATTAATTCCTTTCCCTTCACTATAGCCTCTTTGCTTTTCCTTCTGTTTCTCACTTACCTGAAAAGATTTTTGTTATTGTTTGGGGCACTTCCCACAAGCCTCACCTTAGCTTTCTGACACAATTCCCCACAGTATTTGGTGACAGTCTTTTATCTTTAGTTCTTTATCCAAATAGGAGAAATCAAATCAATCTTTATTATGGACATAAATCAGTATAATGAGGGTGGGATACAGTCAATTAAAAAGCATAGAACAGTCATCGGAGACTTTAAGAAAAATATGAGGAAACTACAAGATATTAAGAGAGAAAGTATATATAAATCTCTATAAGAATAAAAAAGAAGGGATAGGACCTTTAAATTGATGCAAGAGAACATAAAAGGTTAGTATGTGGAAGATTAAGGCAGAAATCAAAGGGTTTTTTTTTAAGCTCACAGAGGTCTTGATAACCCCACTGATCTTAACAAATAATCATCAAGCTCAATATCCTCCTTTCCAGTGGTGAAATCCGGCCGGATTTATCCAGCTCGCGCGAACCGGTAGGGCCAGCGGCGGGAGGCTCCACTCACCCTCCAGGACATCACTACATCCCGTTTTTGACCCTCTACACATGCGCAGAAGGCTCTGTCCATGTGCAGAAGAGGCGCACACACTCACATTTCCAAACTGGTAGCAAAGGTAAGTGCATTTCACCGCTGCTCCTTTCTCATAGAGCCTGTCTTGTCTCTTGGAAGCCACAAGAGGAGAATAAAGGCATATCCCAAAGGTGCTTTTTCAAAAGGCAAACAAAAGGACTTTGTTTTTCCTTGAAGACATTTTGCTTCTTATCCAAGAAGCTTCTTCAGTTCTGCCTGAATGGTAGAAGATGGAAGAATGTATATTCCTTGCAGTCATCTAGTCATTAGCGCTCTCCTTGAGAACCCTTGAAGCCACTTGGAGGTTTATCTGTGCTCTCAGTGTCACCTGACTAGTGCAAAAGGATGTGGAACCCTCTTGGAACTGCTGAAAGGACTGTGTTGTAAACAGGAGATAGGTGTGTTAAGAGAGCACTGTTAATGTAGATAGCCAGTTGCCTTTTGAAAAAGCACCTTTGGGACAACCATGACCTGGATGACTGGGAATCTCCATAGACAATAAAGGCATATTAATGCTTCCTACTATGAAACATTAGGATGATTTCTTCCTTGTTCCCCACACCTATCACCTCTCCAGTTCTGGGACATCCCATTCCCTTGTCTACTTCAGCTCAAACTCTTAACGGAAAGTCTTACAGCTTAGTTTCACTAGAGAAACCTCCCCCAACCACATGCCCTCCAGTCATATTGGATCAATTTCCATGAGCTCTCAACGGGGATACAATAGAAGGTTTTACACACCATTTGGTTGGTTTTGGGAGAATGAGTTGTAGGCACCCAGTAGTTATTCATTAAACTAAATAATAAACCATTAAATAAAAAATAAACTTAATAATAAACTTAAAGTAATTCAGTAGAATTGTTAAGCAAACCTCAGCTTACTTTGATGTTTCATGGGTTCACCCATCACATTTGATTAACCCCAATGTATTGAGCTAATTCTAATTAGCTGGCTTCACACAACATATTCAGTCAGAAATTTACAAGTCACAATTGTTTGATTTACACACCACACAAGCCACCGCTATGTTGTTCTTACAATGCATGGCTATAAAGCATTTGCCCAGAGGGTAACGTAAGAATAGAGCTGATAGGAGTAATTTACATAGCAGAGTAAGGGGAGGGAGCATTCTCCTTCCTTCCTAGCTAATATTTTTCTTTGCTTAGCACTACATTTAAAGGAATATTCACAATTTAGAGAGAGGGGAGTAATTAATATTTCTAGAACTAGGAGATAAGTAGTGGTTTATCCTTGGGGGGAAAAAAACCTTGCAAAGCAGTCAGCATTTTGAAATCAAAGAAAATATAAGAATAATTTAACATAATGGGAAGTAAAAGACCAGCGTGCTTCTTTATCATCACAAATTTCCCTCTTGCTCCACCCCTTTCAGATGAGATAGGGGTTTTTTTCTTTCTTTTTCCCCCCTTTAATGCTATGTTACAGAAGATGGCATCCCAGTTTGAGCTGCAAGTTGTTAAATACATTTGATTTGCCAAAACACAAGAGAGCTAATTAACTTGTGCTGAAGAAGCATAATTTATTATAACAAATTAAGGGCATTTTTTTGAAAAAAAAATGTTCTTCCACAGTGAATTTCAATGATCACTCATTCAAAATGAGGAGGTACAACATTCCTTGTGTTTTTAGTACCATATTAGCAATCTAAACTGTAAATATAGCAGTATGGTGAGGGCAACCCACACAGAAAAGGCATATTTATGCAGCAGGATTTTTTTTCTCAAACAATTCCCTTTGTATTGCTTCTTTAAAAAAAAAAAAAAGAGAGTCCAGCTCAGTTACTAATTTATCTTACTCCATTTGTCTTCCTTATTATTATACCACACCAATAATGTTTAAGCTATAATATTTTAACACAGTAACGAAATGAGGATTAATAAAAGAAACAGGTTTAAAAATATTATGAGCATCTTTAAAAAGCCTTAATTGATCAAGCACAAAAATAGCTTTTAAAAGATGAATACAGTATATTGTTCTCTACTTCCTTGTCCAGATATAAATATTAGGATACTTTCCTCCTTCTATGCAGGTCTTCAAAGCTCACTTATTGACTGGAATGAAAGGCTCACGTAAAAGTAGACAGAAGGAGTATTGGCAAAGTCCAAATGAAATGAATTTGATCTCCTAGAATCCCCTAATCAACTTGGCCAATGACAATGTTTCTACAGTATCTGTAACATATCAAATTGGGGCATTAGCTATGAATCTTCCCTTACTTTGTTTTTCCCTTTCAGATATCCCACCTCCATTTTCTTCCAGAGAAAATTCAAGTTTGCCACAGAAATACAGATTCCTGCAGAGAAAAATACAGCTAGAGGAGTTAGAGGATGAGAGATTTTGCCTTAATTAAACCTAGCTGAATATATACACAAATGCTTCTTGTTCTGAATGACCATTACCATGGGTTGGGATTCTGCCAATCTCTCTGCATGGCCCACAATAGCATTGTCCAAATGTTTCTCCTTCTAAATTGTTATTAGAATGCACCAAAATAGTCATTCCAAATGCAGGGGAATGTGAATCCATTCATTTGCGTGCATGCTATTGCTTTTCTGAAATATGCAAGACAGGAAACAGAGTTTGAGTCCAATGAATTTGTATTGCCATCTGATCATGCAATTCAAATTGTGTTGAGCTCTAAGGCCAGCGTGAAGAAAATATACTATCTATAATATAAGTAAAATGATCTTGATCTATCTCACAAGGTCGTTGTAAAGATTATTAACATCATGTTTTTAGGGAAAATACTAATTTCTTGCCAGATCCAAGGATATTAAGAATAAGTAGTGTTAAGATATAATAAGCAGAAATATAATCCTACAAATACACCAAAACATGAACCCACAAAACTCTGTAAATTAACAAATCTACATTGCCAAGTTGTATGTGCAGACATGCACACACACCCTCTCATAAAAAGAATGCTGTCTTTGAATGCATAGTCTTTAAAATTTATGCCAATGACAATTATCTTTCATTGAGCATAATCTACTGGTATTCAGAAATGTTTTAATAGGCAATTGATGCCAAACTTTTTGATATTTTTATCAAAAATATCTTATATTTTTATATTTTGTTTTCTATGGTTTTCATGTAGGACTTCAATGCCATACAACTTTTGTATTAAAAAGAGGGAAACTTGGTTTATTTTAGTTGCTTTGATTTGTTTTGGCATACAGAATATCTCTTCCACTTATTGATAATTTTATTCATCACATTTTATCTTAATTCCTGCCACATACTTCATCACTATTTCATAGTTACAGAGTAATATACAAAATAAGTGAATGAGACTTCATTAATGTCATTTGCTCAAATTTCCATTTATTGGTACCTATAAAAGCTACTAAACAAATAAGCCTGGTACAACATTGTTTATTATAATATACAATTTTATAATATATTCAGAATTAATTTTATTTCCAATTGTGCTTCTTTGGAATGTTTGGACTGTGTCATAGATCTCTTCTTAGGTAGATTATTATAATGGAAGGATGATTGTACCAGAATTATGTAGAATAATTTTCAGATGTAGATGTAAGTCTAGATACGGTACATTTTCATGGTGAAGGATGATCACATGGCACCAAATGACAATCTCTCCTAACCCACAGATATTATACAGATGTCTGGGACAAGCAATATATAGAGTACAAGCTATACACTCTTGAAATGCTTGGTGATTGTATATTCTCTACACATCTGTCTGAATCCTGGGGATCTATAAAAAGAGATTACAGAATCTGCAGAGGTGATGCAAACCAACCACCATGATCAAGTGCCCATCTTCTGCTTGTTCACTGAACATATTAAATCTGGGTGAATAGCCTTATAGGTCAAGTGGCATTTCCCAGGGGTTAATATCAGAAAAATGACAATTTAACACAATTTCTAATACGACGTTAAATAAGACGAAGATGTTCAAGGGTGCAAATAGAAAACAGGTTACCACAAAGACTTAGTCAACTGTTAACCAAGTATATGTGGGGCTTACTTGATGATCCTTATCTAAATTGGAGATTTTTGATATCAGGAGTTGATCAAACCTTGGCAAGTTTTGTTCTTCGAATTCTGTTTTCTGTCAATGACTTTTGTCTTTAGAACTAACAGCAACAATGGTGGGCCAGGTGTAGAAATCCTGACTGATAATGCCTTGTATTTTTCAATAGGTCACACACCATGCTCTGATAAAGATGCCCCAGTAGGAAACACATCTGAGAGTGGACATAATGAAATGGCTTTTATTTCTAGGGACCATTGCCTGTAATGTGCAGTTCCCAGCACTGAGATGTACAATAGTAAACCTCAAAATTGCTGATTCTCTTCTGCAAATTTTGAGTGATTCCAAGGTGTGTTGATCTACTGTTTGGAGTAATTAATGCACGCTAACAAGGCAAAGTGGTTATGCTCTCCTGGCGTATTCATCGAAAATCAATGGCAACAGCTTCCCTGACAACATTTCTCATCTAGAGTATGAGAAGGCAAATGGTGATAAAGAAGTCTCCCAATTAAAAAGGTAACAAAAGGAAGAACAATTTTCCTTTCAGTTACTGACTGTGCTGTAGCTGCATTTCAGATATCATGAGTGAGAGTTGTAATTTAGTGACAAGGTGTTTTTTTCCCCCGATCATAGGAAAAAGAAAACAAAGTTGATCAAAGAGACATAAGAGTGAAATAAATGATAATGGGATTTTTTTTAAAAAAAGAAGAGTGGGTCATTTGCTAATGATTTTTAAAATTGTATCACACCCACTATCTGAATAACAATTTTGGTTGCTTTATCCATCAGAAGAGATAGGCTCTTTCTTTTAGATTAATTGCAGAGGTCTTACTTTGGTGGAGAATGTGGTAGACAATATTAAAAGAGTTTATTTTAATTTTTTATACTATTCTATTCCTACTGATCTATTTAACATATTGACACCTACAGGTGGTCCTTAAATATACCTGATTAATCTACACATCTTCTCAGATGACATGAAACTAAATTGCTGAAAGGAAAGATAGCCTGTTGGCATTTTTTCTCAGGGATGCAAGGGATAGTATTGTGCTCTCTGTAATCATTTATCATGACATAATAACCCCTTAATTTCTATAGCATCAATTGGGCAAAGTGTTCGAAGAGTTGGAGCTAGATAAAAGCAGAGAAAGGAATTCTGAACAGCAGAGATATAACTGGTTAATTTTGACCCCAAACACAAGACGAGTGTTTTCTGACCTTTGTAATCTTTTTCCACTGGTGATAAGAAACTTAGATATTATATTTTTGACATGGAAATGCTTAACACAGTTAGGGGAATATGTATGCAAAATACTATATTTCACAGTGACACAGTTGAACAGATTATCCTAGAGATACAATCCACTTAGCTCAGTAAAAATATATGGGAGACGGTTAGATAATTCTAGAAGTATCTGGGGATTCTGAAACAGGAGGGAGGGAGGGAGGGAGGGACTTTGATATATGAGAAGAGAAAGTGAACGAGAAAAGTACTTAGGGAAAGAAAGCTCTCAATGCTCAGCAAAGTAAGAGAAGAAATAGAAAAGCAAGGTTGTTAGTGCAATGGGTTTTCTAAATTACTGTATCTCAACATAGTTATCTCAACCTAGATTTTGAAAATAGATTCTATTTATTATGTCAACCTATAATAAAATCAAATCTTGGTGTTATGGTTAATGAAAAAATTCAATGAAAAATGGATGTTTTGCAGAAATGTGTTATAAGGATATATTTTTAAAATTATTTTTATTATTTATGTAGGACATTTATGTTTAATGGCATACCAGATTATTCTTTGTTTTCTTCACACTTTCAATGTACACAAATGATTTCGCATGGCAGCCATCAAGCTAATGAACTGGTAGTTTTATTATTCATGATAATTTAATTTGAAACTCCTAGTAGTTAATTCCTCTGTAATACAGAATTGTCTATTTCCTCATCAGATGGCAAGCCTGAACCGTAGAATTCCATCTGCAGTCATCATTAGCAATAGTTCCTTCCATAGAGCTTTCTCTGGAAGTCCCCACTCATCAGAACATATTCCACATCCCATTTCTTTAGCTGGAGGTCATGCTACAGTAAAACAGAAGGATCTATGCCTTATCAAGCACAACAAGAGATCCAGAATTTAGAGCAAACACTTACCCCTTCTAAGCTACTTTCACCCCCAACTCTTGGAAAATTAAACAGAAAACATCCCAAAGTTCATTATCAGCTCAACTCAGGAGAACTGCAACAGGGGGGATTTGGAAAAGCTCATATGTCCAGTTTACCTGTAGAAATAAGGAGAAATGTCAGTAGCTGGAACTTAAATATCAATCGGAATTTGGAAATTTAGCTTCAGGTTATTAAGCAGCTCCCACCTCTGCAGTTTCTGGATTTATCAGAAAACTACTTTTTCATGAAAAAAGCCCTGGTTCACCCATAAAGCTGAGTCCTTAGTTTCTTTAATTGTGACTTATTGAATTAATTACAATTTGCTGGATTCAAACACGTAAAACTATATACTGTGATTAAGAAACTATAAGGTAAAGGTTCCCCTCGGATATAGGTACTAGTCGTTCCCGACTTTAGGGGGTAGTGCTCATCTCCGTTTCAAAGCCGAAGAGGCAACGTTGTCTGAAGATGTCTCAGTGATCATGTGGCCAGCGTGACTAAATGCCAAAGGCATGCAGAACACTGTTACCTTCCCACCAAAGGTGGTCCCTATTTTTCTACTTGCATTTTTTTATGTCCTTTCGAACTGCTAGGTTGGCAGAAGCTGGGTACCTCACCCCATTACGTGGCACTAGGGATTCGAACCGCTGAACTACTTACTTCATAAAGCGTGCTAGATAGTCAAACCAATCACATTTGGATTTAGTAGAAAGTATGAACCCAAAGAGAATAGCATTTTGCAGTCTTCATCCTAACACTAGGTCCATGATGGCGAACCTATGGCACGTGTGCCCGAAGTGGCACATGTGGCCATGTCGCCTGGCATGCACAGCATTGCCTGTTCTTCTTCCAGGTTTCTGGTGTGCATGCACATGTGGCAATCAGCTGGCTTTTGTGCATGCAGCAGTGCCGGAAACTGGAAGAGCTGGTCTTCCATTTTCTGGCATGAGCATGCGCGCCGGCCAGCTGATCTGTGTGTGCGCATGTGCAGCAGTAACCAGAAGACTTGCTTGCCTTAGCTAGGATAAGTACCTTATCTGGCACATGCATGCCCCCTGGGCAGCTCCTTATCCTGGTCACGGCGGCCCTGACGAGCACGCACCCATGCGCGAAGTGCTCCTTTTTTGGCACTTGGTGCCATGTGCGCACGCACGCTCTCCTTTTCCGGCACTCGGTGCCAAAAAGGTTCCCTATCACTGCACTAGA